TGTTTGGCAATTTGGTTGGGATCCTGTGCTTGGATGGCGGTTTGGTTGGGGCACTCTACTCTACAGTTTAATGGGGCTCAGTAGATTTTGATGTTGATCAACCATCTGCTTTTCCTCTGTAATTGAACAGTCCAATGGTTAATTCTTGTTGTTAGTAGATGATGGTGATCGAATCAGATTGTAGATCCCTCCTGTAACTTTTTCTTTGAAGGTAGATCCATCTTGTAACTAGAGCACGGTTGCTTCTCATGAAGATGATGATTTGCTCCCCTGAATTCGTCTGTCCTCTATCTTTCAAGTGGATAAATGCTGATGATGATCAAACTGTTCTTCTGGTGAGAAACTCTTTTCTGTTTCATCAGTAGAGAAATTCAATTAAAGGGCTTAGGGCACATTAAAAGTCAGACTCTTTCTGGTGCAGGTTCTGAAACGGGTTCTTACAGTCTTGAAGTGAACATGGATAAGAAACACACCATATATCATAAGGTTGATCGTCTAAAACCTGTTTAATGTCTTCAGCTGTTCACCATAAGCTCATAAAGCTGGGCATTTTCACTTTTTTCGGTTATAGATTGGTGGATGAGCTTGTTGTGTTGCACAAGGAAGCAGCATAAAGAGTTGTCGTGAGCAAATTAGGTCGAGTATAAATAATCGAGGTCCTGGTCTTGCTCAAGCAGTAAGGGCTTCTTCTTCCCAAACCACAAATTTCATTCGTTCTAGCCTGTTAGTTACCCTGATTTCACCTTTTGAAATATGTTAAGCTTACTTGACTTCACTCTGTATCCTTCTCTCTTTGTAATCCTGTAAATGAACCGAAGATGGCAAGGGGCAGCAGTTCCTGGCGGCCTGGGAAAAGCACCGGAACGACTCGAATCTAGCAGCTTTGTGCTTCTCTTTAACTGAAATCTCCATCGACGAGGAGAGTTCAACAAGCGACGCCTTGAAGAATGATATTGACAGCCCACTGAACTGCCTGCAACTGCTAACTAGCCGATAAGTGCCTGGAGAATGGGATTTGTTCTTTCTTCATCAAAGGGATTAAAGATGGAGTAAATTCAAATGCTAGGGTTAATGTAAATGTAATCATTCACCTTCTGTAGATCGAATGTACACATACATTAAACTCATTTTGAAATATCCGATTGAATAAGAGATAGATTTTGAAATCTTTGAACTAGCTAAAGAGAGATGCTTAATAAGTTCATATCGATTGAACAGTGAAATCCCGAGTAGGTTTTCCCTCATGAATTTAATCAATATGACAAATGTTAATAACAAAATCTGATTGTATGTGGGGGATGATTGAATTCTACAATCTTTCCTAAAAGAATAAAAAGAACAAGAGTAAAATGATGTTCTTCCTCTACAAAACCCAAGCAGGGAGTAAATAGAGAGATAACTCAAAGTCTCTGATTGAGTACTTTGTTTTCTACTACCTCTTTTTTTGTTACTTTCATTTTCCATCTAAGCTAATCACCTGGAGTTGTTGCTGATACAAAGTGGAAAACCCTAACCCTCCCCAGGCTTCAAAAGAAGAAAATTTATGTATTCCTTCCAGAGGCCAAAATAGTGATACAATCTTTTCACTGCACCATTGCTCCACTGACCAAACCTGCTCTCTGGAAAGGATTGCTGCTGCTGCCGCTTACGTCGTGGTTTCTTGACAAAATAACAGAATACACAGTCGTCTTTCTTATATGCTGACTATGCTGGCATTTCATCATCACTTGCTTCTTTTCTTTACTTCACTGTAGAGGATGACTCCAAAGACTGTTAGAGAGTAGCCAAGCATCCCCGTAACAGATACTGGGTTCTTAAAGATTAGAATCGAGACGACAACTGCCACAGCTCCTTTTGCATTCCCCAAAACCTGCAAATAACAGCAGTAAAAAGATTGTTATCTGGTTTTGTAAGAGACTCAGTTCTGACCTAGTCTTACAGTTGTTAAGTTAGAACTAGAGAACCAAAATGGTCGAACCTAGGACAGACTTTTGCATCGGATTAAGATTCAGCAACCTAACTCTACATGAGACCAACTTTATCTAGAATCAGTTCATAGTTCTTTCTTGGCCAAGCATGACTACATACCAATTGCATTTTGTTAATGTAGCTTAGGAGTTCATGGAAGGAGGCATACCTGGAGAGTGAGAGCACTTGTATGTTTAGTGACCAAGAAGTTGGTCAAATTCACAAAGAAGGCTAATACGGAGTTGGAGAATAGCAGCCACATGAACTTGGGATCATCTCTTGCGAGAGCCAGAGTAATACCAACCACATTCCCTTCCATTGTCAGGGTTGCAGGCAGCAAGAACACAACAGCAATTGGAGCCATATATAGGAGCAGATTCATAGAATTCAGCTTCTCCCTAGAGACATAAATAACAGAACCATTTTTCAGTATATAATCCTACTTTCAAACTTTCCATTTTCCAATATCCAATATCCAAATCATTTCGAAAGTACTTGTGCCACAAGAAAACCTTACCCCTCAGAAGAAAGCAATATACCCTGGAGGACTGACTTAAGAGCTCTTGCTGCTGTAGCAGCAATGCACATTATAAACCCAAAGAGATGGAAGCTTGGTTCACCCTATTGCAATAGGCACAAAAACGACATAGATCAGAACAAACCCAGATGCTAGAAACTCCATCTACATGTAAATAACAGAGAAAAGCAGTCCAGTTGAACGATTCAATTGGGTAGCCTGCAGAGCTGTTGAGCATTTGTCATCTCCAGAATCAACATTCAAAAAGCAATCATTTAAGAAGCAATGATGAACGCATAGCCATTTGTCAGAGAAAAGGGCTGGTTCAAAAGAAATTCACTGACAGAGTCCAATTTTAACCCCCCGTTCAGCAATCAAATGATTAGAACACCAAAATCCATTGCAGAAACTCAGCCAGATAAAATCTAACCTCATACTGGAAAATTGAGAGAAATCGGGCCTTACCCCAGTGGCAATGATGACTCCAGTAACCACAGGAACCAAAGTCAGGTAAGTGAGCCAAGTCTCCCTCTTGAACGTCATCACATAAGCAAATACGGCGGTAAAGAACGGGGTAGTGGCGCCGACAGCCTGATTAAACGACACTGGAAGGAAGCGGAGGGAGATGTTACCAAACACCACCGACACGCAGAAGACCAAGCTCAAAGCTGAGATCTTGAAGAATTGGGTGCGGGATCGAATGGTCTGCAAGGGGACGACCTTCATCCAAACAATGGAGATGTAGCTGAAGAGACTGCAAGCCGTCATGTGGCACATGGTGAGGAAGATTGGGAACTTGAACTCGTAAATGCTGAGCAAGAACTTGTTCATCAGCAGGACCCCGATGTTGGAAGAGTACCAGCAGGCGACCAGGCCGATCGTGAACAGCAGCGTGGTCGCCGGCACCGTAATGTTCCCCTTCACCGACTTCTCCATCTCGCTTCAAGCTTCCACCTATGGAGATCTGAGTGAATCCAGAGCCGTGGGGTTGGGGGATTGGGTTTTTCCCTTCTTCGCCCGGATTAGCCTGCAAAGAAGGGATGTTTTCAGTGGCGTGAAAGTTCCCTAGATTGCTATGATTCCTGACGCGCCATGGATCTGTGTCATAACAATGGAGGAAAAGGGGGTGGAAACAAAAACGAGCAAAAGGAGAAGGGAAATTCGACGGGCGGAGAGGGATAGGTGACGGAGAGAGAGAAGGAGAGAAGGGTAGTGGGAAAGAAGGAGAAATTGGTCAAATGGAAGGGACGTGCGACGGAGAAGGAAGAGGGGGGGATTTTTGGGATTTAAGAGGGAGGGAATTCGGCGGCGGCGGCGGAGGTAAATGAGGTGGCGGTGGTGCTAAAGCGCGTTGAAGAAGGGGGAAGAATTTTGGTTAACGTGGGGCGTATTTCCTCCGGTTTCTGTTTCTTTCTTTTTCTGTAGGTTTATAACCTCTGCAGGTTAACGTGGGGGATTTATTTATTTTAATTAATTAATCAATTGGGGTAATTGGTTGTGTACTGGTTTCTTTAGGGTGCTAAATGCGAATTGGAATTTTTTTTTTACTCTTTAGGTCCTTTATATTCATTTCGATTGGAATCTAGTTGTGTAAATTATGAGAAATTCTATACAATACATCAACATCAACTGAATTTTAGCCTATTATACAAATTTTCTGGGATGTCTTCAAAAGGACGATGTTATTTTGATTTGAGTCAAATGCGAATTGGTATTTATCAAGATTCAACTTGGTTGTGCTTTCAAGGGCATAAATAAATATAAAAATTCGTTGATTATAGATAAAAACCTTATAGCTTAAATAAATGAAAAGGAAATTTGGAGATATACCAAATTAAATGCTAATGAATAATGTGAAAAGTTTGTTATAAGAACCCCAACTTATTTCCGGAATTGGGGAAAAGGAATCGCATCGTTGAAGTTGGAGCATTAACTGAAAGCATACCCAATCAAGGTGTTTATTTCTGCATTTGGTGTATGTATGTGTGGGCCTTTCTAATTGTAATGTATAATATAGTGTAGATTTGTAGTTGTTGAAATTTCTTGACCCTACATCCCAAATCATAAACAAAAGGGCTAAATTACATATTTGGTCACTCAAACTAAATATTTCACGTTTGCCATCCGAATTACTTTTCTTTCTTATTAGCCACTAACTTTAAGATTTGTTTCATCATTAGTCACTAGCCGTTAGTCTCCGTTAGAGTCCGTTAACAGCGTCAAGTTTTTGATGACGTGGCAAACGAAAGTGCTGACTAAACCGTTAACTTAATTATATTTCAATTAAAAAATTAAAATAAAGACAAAAAGAGGCAGAGGAGTGACCCCTTCCCCTCCCTCATCTTCTTCGCCTTCCCATCTTCACCAAGAACAACGGAACAGAGCACACTCATCTTCCTCTTTAATTCTCCCCATCTCCTTATTTTTGTGTCCATGTGCTAGCTGCCATCTTCAATTCTTTCTTTTCATTTCCCTTTACAGATCATGTATAAATGTAACATGATTCTCTTGTAATCAAACCAAAAGAGAAACTATCTGTACAATAGAAATCAGTCTATATAGATTTCTACACTCGGCCTGGGCGAAATGGCACTGGAGGCTCCCTCGCCTGGTGGCGGCACTCCGCCTTCGACTTCGAGAGCTCCGTCATCCTCTTCGTCGGCTGTATCATGCTTTCTGATAAATCCAAGATCTGGAAGCGCGACGGCAACCTCCGTGTGCACATCGTTAGCCGAATTTGACAGAGATCCAATGCGCCGATCAGAGCTTCCTCTTCCTATTGTCGCCGTCGCCCCCGGCTCTCTCCTCATCCTCAATTGCGACGAGCAGAATATCCACGACGCCTTCGAAACCGCCGAAGCTCCTCTCTCTAATTCCGACATCATCGGGTTCTGCTCACAGACTAGCGCGTACTGGCTGGGGTTGGACGTGACCAAGGCCAAATTGGTCGGGCGGACGAATTGGAGGAGGCAGGAGAAGAGCAAATTGAATGGCGACGAATCGAATGGCGGTTGTCGTAGGTGATGTAGCTTTGGAAAGAAGAATCATAGAGGGAGGAAGCATTGGTTTCACCCCTACCTTTTTCACACCTCGGATCTTCTTAGCTTTGTTTGATATGGAGGAGGAGTTGATGCTCTGTTGTTTTGGGTGAAGATGGAGAGGCGAAGAAGATTAGGGAGGGGAAGGAGCCACTCCTCTGCCTCTTTTTGTCTTTTTATTATTATTTAATTGAAATATAATTAAGTTAATGGTCCAGTCAACACATCCGTTTGCCACGTCATCAAAAACTTGACGGCGTTAACGGATTCTAACGGTCGGTGACTAATGATGAAACAAATAGTAAAGTTGGTGGCTAATAAGAAAGAAAAGTAATTCGGGTGGCAAGCGTGAAAGATTTATGTAATTTGAGTGACCAAACGTGTAATTTAGCCTAAACAAAAGATAATAAAGAAATCCTTAAGCCCGTACGATGCCGATCAATCTGAGCCCGAAGGCCCAAATAAAGAGGTGGGCCCAAGTAAGTAGCCCATTTTCAAACGACCACAAACACCCACTGCCTTGAATCTTTTATTAATAAATTCAAGAACGATTCTACAAGTGGTGCAAAAGCGTCAAATGTCAATAGCTGCTGTCATGTTATGAATGAGATGAGAGTGCACCAAGTGGCAAACAAGAAACAGTCAAGAATCAGTTCTGTAATGAAGCAAGGGTTTGCCCAGAAACGGTATTATGCACTCCACGTTGCAGCATGAAATGTAATCAAACAATATAACCATTCTTCAAGAATGGAAACCGTCAAATACATGAATGTTATCGAGAGCAGGAAGGGAGCAGCAGCCGGATCACGTCAGGCGACATTTGGAAATGAATCAAAGTGCCTATCTTGATTACATTCAAATGGCGGCATTGAACTGAAAGCAAATATACTTTTCAACGCATTCGTCATAACAACTACCTATGGGCGATGACAATTCTGTTTTACAGTTCAATGTACAGATTCTCAACCTTCAATTTGCACCTGTAACTCTCATGTAATACAGAACCAAACGACGAGTATAATCCAAACAACGATGATTTCTCAATCATCGTGGTACAGGCCGTGAATTACTTCTCGAGCTTCTTATGGTAAGATCATACTTCAGGGTCAAGCCACAATGAGATGCAAGATAGAACCCAGGGAAACCTACAAACTAATTCGATCCTAGGAATCGGAATCTGGAGCAGAAACGCGTTTAGCTATGAGCCTAGTCATGTCAATCTGTAGATTATCCAGCTCAAGGCCACCATGACATGAGCACAATAATAGCTACAGGATTGTTGTAAATCAGACGAACGAAACAAAGAATTTACAATAATAACATATAAATAAACAGAGTTCAAAGGAGGATTTGATTACTCGAGCATTCAAACAAGAACATCTGATTGGGGATTTACTGAAACTGGAATTGATGGGAATGGTGTACAACGTATATCCACCATGCTAAACAGAACAAAACTGTCTCTAACAAAAAGAGAAAGGCACAAGACAAATCAAAGCTCAACTTAGATCGAAGAACCCAAGTACACAGCAGTTTCCTCTGAGACAAGCAAACTTCTTCAAAACCTGAGGAACAGCAAAAAGAAAGACTTCAGACAACAAGGTACAAGGAAATCAGGTATGCATCCAAGTGCAACTGAAGCAGCAATTTCCAAGGCAAGTTAAAACAATTACAGTATTGACAACTGCGACTCAGTGAGACAACCACTTCACCAAACACAGCCACACAGTTGATAGCAGAGTTACTCTTGAAATAACAATTCAGACGACACAGTTACATATCTGAATTCCACATTATACTAAACAACTTAATCCCGACATTGACAATTGAATGTACCTTAGATATTGCTGGGGTACATGAAGACTCTTACTCTGTCTCCCTGCAAAATTAGCCAAAACTTCGGTAAGCCATAAAAACACAGCAAACATGGAAACTCGAAACACTGAAAAATGTAGCACTTGATGTACCATGGACTTGGGAGGGAGGTTGGACGTGAACTTTGCTCTAATGACACCACTGTTTCCATGAGGCCTTGATACCTTGCCCCAGATGCAGCGATAGTGCGAGCCATCCTTCTTCACCTTAGCCTTGTAGATATAAGCCAAGCGCTTTCCCGCATACCATGCTACCTCTTCCTTGGTATTCACTCCCTCAATCTGAATCAGAGAAGTGTTGGGGTACTGGTTTGCCTTGGACCTAATTATCACAAACAAAATCAAAACTCAATCTCTCGACACAAGCAAAATAAACCCTAGAAAGATTTCCACCATTACTGAAACCTACACTAGGTAATCAAATTCATCATACAAGATATCGAAGATCTGTAAGACCTTTCTTTAGAAACCCATTTCCTGACATTTAACAGGGCAGCGATAGAGAAATAGGAGAATCAATCAAGGAACAAGTCTCCTTACCTCTTGTACCCTAGGATAGTTCCTCGGACGTAGAGTCTGCAAAGAAGCAACGCGTTCAAATAAGAAAAAATTAGCTTCGATTCACCACTCTCTCCGTTAACGAACTACGTTAAACTCCGAGCTGGAGAAAACAGTTTACAGTGCGGTCTGAGATCGCAACCGGAATTGGAGATATCTATCGGAAAAGGATCTTGAAGTAACAGAGGGAAGAACGGGAAGCCCAATACCTGACGCGCTCTCCTTCGCGACCTTTCACCATTTTCGTGGGTTGGAGGCGGAGCTTCTCCCTTTTCCCGGTTGTTGCAGAGGTGGCTGAAGTGACGAGCTATGCTGCGGGAGAAGGCTTCCTAAAACCCTAACCAGAGTCTTACTTGATTTAAAGAGAGAACGCGGGTCAGACCTCCGTCCTAACTCCTAACCATTAGGCCCATCAAAAGAAAGCCCAGTTGTTTCAGCCCGACAATGCATTAGATTATTATCTCCCGAAATATCCATGGGCCTCAATCGAGCACTCATTCTCGGCCCATTCGGAATGCAGATACAACTTATTGCTCTTTGGTTTAATAGACTCGCGTATGTGGATTACAATTTACAAGGGATCCGATACAAACGACAGTATTTTGGGAAAAGGAAGCACGATAGTAGTCCGTAGATTGGGGATTATTGATAAGCAAATACATATATATATATATATATATATATATATCCACAATTATCAGGTTTGTGACAAATATATCGACAACTATCGAAATACACGAAATGTTCATTTCCGTCCAATATTCTGACGATGTCAATTAACAGTCTGATTGTACTGACGGAATGAGCTGAGTTGGCTATGTTTTGTCCCCACCAATCTATGTGGATTAACAAAAATAAAAAATCTTATCCCTCCCAACCTCCCTCTCTCGTTGCCCTCCTCCCACCCTCATCGCCGCTGAAGGTTACAGTGTTTGTGGTTTGATTTACTGTGTTTGTGGTTTGCATTAGGAGATTTCTGGCGTGCTTATGACATATTTTGTGGTTTGCTTTGTGAGGTTTCTAGCATGTTTTAGGAGACTTGTGGTTTGTATTAAGAGGTTTCTGGTTTGTATTAAGAAGTTTTTGGGGTGCTTTCGAAACTTTTGTGGTTTCCTTTGCGAGGTTTCTGGTTTGTTTTAATATATTTGTGGTCTGCATTAGGACGTTTTTTGTTTGCTTTATTGTGGTTTGCTTTACCGTGTTTGTGGTTTGCATTATGAGGTTTCTTATGTGTTTTTGAAAATTATGTGGTTTGCTTTGTGAGGTTTCTGGTTTGTTTTAATATATTTTTTGTCTGCATTAGGACGTTTCTGGTTTGTTTTGTGGTTTGCTTTATCGTATTTGTGGTTTGCATTAAGAGGTTTTTGGTGTGCTTTTTATGGGATTATTCACTACTAGAGGCAGGCTTAATACACAAGTTTGATGACAGAAAAAACAAGAGGTCCCAACCTTGGATGACCTGTATATATTCAGAGGACATATCAAGCATTGGATAAGGATACAAAGTCCACAAGGCGACTAGAATTGTCAAGAGAATAGCAATTCGAGTTTGGTACAAGAACAACAGTGGAGCCAAGAATCTGTAAAAGTAAAGCTGAAAAGAATCCAGCGAAAGAGATACAGTTAGACAAGGAAACCCAACAAATAAGGAACGAAAACCAAAATAAACAAGGTAACAAGCAGCAGCAACAACAAGAGCCACCCTACTCAATCTCACTTAACATATCATTGGCTCTTTTACCACAATAAGCCGTAGTAATAGCATAAGTGGTAGCCTAGCAGATTCCACACGCAATCCCCAGCTTAGTTACTTTACAAAACAACGTTTTGCTTCACTTCAACGGGTGAAAAAAAGAAGAAGAAGGAAAACCAACCAACTGATCGATCCCCGATGCCAAAATATTACATATCGCGACGATAAAAATCTGTAAAACAGTGATGGACGAAATCCCCCATCCATTATTGTGTACGTTCGGATTTCTACTTGCTTCTTCCATTTTCTGATGGGTTTCCGGAGAAAAATCGGAAGCCGCCAACGAGAGGAGAGAGTCGATTTAGGAGCTGAAGGGTAGCAATGACAGAGGGAGATTGGTGCAAAAAAACTCTGCATCTGAGGCTGAAGAAGGAGAACTGATGGAGCCAGCCCATATTACTTCTTCCCCGTTGAAGATCCTCTAACCTATCCCGCCGAAAATCTGACGATCAGTGAAACCGCTAGCTCTTGCTCCAGGCTGGACGACGAACAATGGAGCTGATGACAATGATGATTTCGTAGTTGTGTGTGGTGAAGAAGCAGAGGCGGCGGAGGAAGAAGCATGGCAGAGGAGAAGCGTCGCCACTGCGCGGTGGTCGGAAGGCAAGCCGTCGAAGATGCTCTCCCGGCGCACAGCTGCCGCATATGTTTCAGGGAGCCTTCCATCAGATTCGTCGATGGATGAAAGGAAGAAGATCGAAAGAGATCTGAATGGGATGGGACGGAGAAAATTAGGTTTTTCAATTTGGTAATTTTAATGTTAATTTACCTTTCTGTCATGTTGGTACCGTAACAACAATAGGAGTGTTGTTATGCTATCTCCATCCCTCCTCCCACCCTCATCGCCGCTGAAGGTTACAGTGCTCCCATCTCATTCTCTCATTTGTTTCCTCTTATTCGTTTCCCACCGTCGGTCACCGATGCAAGTCCAGTTCCCAAGGTCGTAGCTTCTCTCGTCGCTCAACTGCCATTTTTTATTCTTGTAGTGAAATCAATAGATCTCGTCGCAAGACAGTGGCGATTGTAAATCCATAATTCACACGAACCAGGGAGCAGGGGAGACGTCTTTGAATCGACGAGTTTCGATGGCTGGCCGTCGATGGTGAGACAGGGAATACGGCGGCAATATGCAGCGGTAGCTGCGACAACGGCGTGTGCAAGAGATTTGGCTGTACGGAGATGCGTGCGAGCTTCGATGGCTGGACGGCGACCCAGCAACGGCAAATGCATCGATGGCGCAGCGCTTACAATTTTTTTTCCTTCTTTGGATGCAGTGGGAGTTGGCATAGATGAATCGATGGCGGAGTGCACCGGGGGGTGAATGGCGGTGGAAGAGGGAGGAGGGGCGAAGGTGGGAGGAAGTTGAGGAGGTGGGTGGAATGGTCCTTGAAGAGGGAGGAGGGGCAGAGGTGGGAGGAAGTTGAGGGGGTGGATGGAATGGCGGTGGAAGAGAGACGAGGGGCGGAGGTGGGAGGAAGGGGAAGGGTTTGCCGTAGAGAAGCAATTTTTTATTTTTCATTTATTTTTTATCAGTAAATCTTTATAAGTAAATATGACGTGTCACTTGGGTGCTGACTTGTCGATGATGTGTGCGCTGAATTGATGTCCTAATCAGTGTATTGCTAACAGATCTGGCGGCGTCACTAACACCATTATAGTTTCAGACGAAAGTGGATAGATTTGTCACACAACCTTTCAATTTTTGGATATTTCGTGTATTTCGATAGTTCTGGATATATTTGTCACGAACGTGATAGTTGTGGATATACAGCTGTATTTTGCCTTATTGATATATAAAAGCCTAGGTTGTGAGTTACTATTCATTAGTGGCTCTCACACTTCTCCAAGTGCAAGTTGGCAAGTTCCAAACATTAGTGGCTCTCACACTCATCACAATTGAACCCAAACATTAATTAATTTATGAATTTCTCTTTTTTTTTTCTTTTGGTTGGGAAGACAATTGAACCCGAATCTAAGGTATTAACGAGTGTCGTAGTGTGAGAGAGTTTTATCCGCTTTTGCAGTTGGCAGGTAGAACCAAGTGAGTTACTATTCATTAGTGGCTCGCGACCGCAACCACGAGTTTTATATCGGGACCGAGTTTCATCCTCTTTAGTGTTGTTTCTTTTCTACTTTTCCTTTTTGTTGAACATCATCACAATTGAACCCAAACATTAATTAATTTATGAATTTCTCTTTTTTTTCTTTTGGTTGAGAAGACAATTGAATCCGAATCTAAGGTATTAACGAGTGTCGTAGTGTGAGAGAGTTTTATCCGCTTTTGCAGTTGGCAGGTAGAACCAAGTGAGTTACTATTCATTAGTGGCTCACGACCGCAACCACGAGTTTTGTATCGAGATCGAGTTTCATCCTCTTTAGTGTTTTTTCTTTTCTCCTTTTCCTTTTTGTTGACCATCATCACAATTGAACCCAAACATTAATTAATTTTTGAACCCGAATCTAAGGTATTAACGAGTGTCGTAGTGTGAGAGAGTTGTATCCGCTTTGGCAGTTGGCAAGTAGAACCAAGTGTTAATTTGTTAAAAAATTGGTCAAAGCTAGTTGAACACGTTGTTGACCAGTTTTAGATCGAAAGCGAGTTTTGTATGCTTTAATATTTTTTTATTTCTCATTTTCTGGTTCGTTGAGAATGACAATTGAACTCTGACCCATTGTTGACGAGTTTTGCATCGAGAGCGAGTTTTACCCGCTTTTGTAATTGACATGTTGGGTAAATTGTGAATTTGTTAAAACTGGGTCGACCCGGTCAAAGTGAGTTGAATGTAGTGTTTAGAGTTTAGGGTCGGAACTGATTTTTATCCACTTTAGAATTTCTTTTTAAATCTTTTTCGTTTTGGTTGAGAATGACAATTGAGTCCAAATGCATGAGTATTCAACCTAATTCGACCCGACAAAAGCGAGTTGAATGCAGTGTTGAGAGTATAGGGTCGAGACTGAGTTTTATCCACTTTAGTATTTTTTTTTTATCTTTTTCGTTTTGGTTGAGAATGACAATTGAGTCCAAATGCATGAGTATCCAACCTAATTCGACCCGACCAAAGTAACTTGAACCTGGTGTTTACAAGTTTTCGGTGGGAGCGAGTTTTATCTGTTTTTGTAATTGGCGGGTTGTGTTAGGTGTGAATTTGCTTAAAACACGGTCAACCAGGTCAAAGCGAGTTGCACCTGGTGTTGACCACTTTTGACTCAGGAACGAGTTTCACCTTTAGTGTTTTTCATTTCGCCTTTTCCTTTTGTTTGAGAAAGACAATTGAACCCAAATCCATGGGCATTCAACCTAATTTGACCCGACCAATGCGAGTTGAATCTCCTCAAACCTCCCATCAGTCCCAAAATTCCATAAAAGAGAACCACGATAACCTCAAACACAAAAAAAGCCAAAAGAGTACGACTATATTTTGCCCGAATTTTAGAAGTTTTATGTTTCAAAAGGTGAGGCAAGCCAAACTCCTCTAAAGTTCCGCTTTTTAAAAGGCTGAAGTTTTTCATAACTTGAAAGCAGAAGCTCCAATTTGAAAATACAAAATTGTCATACCATATATTATTCTTTTTCTAGAAAACCTATTTTTTTATTTATATCATTATAAAAAATAATTTTAAAAAATTTTATTGTTTAATATGAAATAAATCTAACGCGATTCATTTTAAATAATTTTTTATTTTAAGAATTTGTATATTTTGTGTTAGAAATATTTTTAATCATTTTACATGTTCTTTTATATTAGAAAGTAATTCTAATAGTTTTTCAGCTGAACACTCAACAGTTTTTTTAATACTTCTTGGAAATATCTAGAGAATTTGCTTTCATTCTACAAAAATTACAACAGGATCAACCACTAGCCATACAAATTGAAACAATAGCGTCATGAAAGAAGTTTAAACATAAATAATCTATTCGACGATCCTTCTACCTTATGCAAGTTCATCGACTATATGCTATTGCAAATAACAAACCTATGAAAATAATGAAATAAAACTACTTTCATTTTTGGGTCAACATTAAAACTATTACTCTTTAAAATATTTATTTTTCAGATACGCGAAGCGATAGCGAGCGGGATTTTGCTAGTATGATAAAATACGAGGACAATATTTCAAAGCGAATGGAAGGATTCAAAATCATGAATTCTGATAAAATCATTAAGATAAAAATCCATCATCATCCCATATATAATCTAGTTTTGTTCAAGAAAAGGATTCTAGCCAATTGAAAGAATCTTCTGATCAATAAATCATTTTGATTCCATTAGTAAAGAGAATTTGGAATATTACACATTGATCAATAATAAAAGAGAGTCTCACTCATAATTGCAAATCAAGATCAATTTACTCCCAACTCTCCCAAGTTTATGGTAGTTTTGACCAAATCCCACCTCCTCTAATGAAGGAAAACATCACCTGCACCCGGCCACAATAACTGATTTTGAAACCTTTCCAGAGCATAGTTGAGCACAAGGTGAAAAAAAGATGACGACGACTATATTCTTGAAAAAAATTAAGAGTTAACATCTTATTTTGGTCTAAACTATGACCTTATAATTAACTTTGTCCCGTGGTTTTAAAAATTAACATCATGGCCTCAACCATGTAACATATAGACTCAATTGGTCCAACACAGGGTTTGACCGTCAATTTGAATGGTCAACACCATTGACCGTTAGTCAACACGCCATGTCATTGCTTCGCCAGCCTAAAAATCATTAAAAATTTCAAATTATAATTTTTGTAATTTTAATTATTTATTATCAAATTAACCAAAAATAAATTATAAAAAACATAAATAAATTTTATTTTTTATTTTTTGGGTAATTTGAAAATGATAAATTTTATAAATTAACCAAAAATTATCAAATTATTATATATTTTTAAAAATATACAAAAAAATAATATATATATATATATATATATAATATTTTTTAAATTTGTAATATTTAGTTTGATAATTTTTGGTTAATTTATAAAATTTATCATTTTCAAATATCCCAAAAAATAAAATATATATTTTATTTTATATGTTATAAATTTTACTTTTTTGTTAATTTCAAAATGACAAATAATAGAAATTAGGAGAGTAATTTGAATTTGAATTTTTTAATGATTTTTAGGCTGACAAGGCAATGACATGGCGTGTTGACCGTCCAAATTGACGGTCAAACCATGTGTCGGGCCAATTGAGTCTATATGCTGCATAGTTGAGGCCAGGATATTAATTTCTGAAACCACGTGCCAAAGTTGATTATATGGTCATAGTTCGGGCCAAAATAATGTATTAACCTTTTAAAAAAAAGTAGTTAGAACCTACAAACGAAGTATATTATTGACAAAACCAAATTCCTATTACAGGTTCATGCAGGTGCAACTTGACGAGGAGAAGATGTTTGAAGAAGTACCAACAAGTTCAGTTTAAGCTAGCATTTAAGGAAACTTTTGATCGATCTTTTGCAGAAACAGTTTCAGTAAACATGTAATAGCTAGCATTTCAGGAGCTTTTGATCGATCTTTTGCAGAAACAGTTTCAGTAAACATGTAATAGCTAGCTTTTGATCGATCTTTTGAGAAACCGTTTCAGCAAACATGTAATGGCTAGCATTTCAGGAGCTTTTGATTGATCATTTGCAGAAATCGTATGTGTAAACATGTATAAGCTAGCATATCAGGTAGCTTTTGATCGATCTTTTGCAGAAACCGTTTGTGAACTTGTTGAGGCAATGAAATGGTTGCTGTTTTTCCTACTGTAAACACAAGCATACAACATAAAGTACTTGATCATACATGCTACAATACTACATTACACCACTTTGATAGTAGTCATTCAAACCTATGACAATACATTACCATGAGCTCCAAAATATTACACGTTCATCATTATGTAAACAATAACAAAAAGTCCCAACATTATTGATATGAGCTTAATCCTTCCAACGAAAATAGAGGGCTGATCGTTCCTCCTCTCTAATGCCACGATCCGCCTGTGTAAACCACGAATAGCTTGCTTCATGGGTTCATCTAATATCGGATCCACCCAACGAAAAAAGTTACATGCTCCCGAAGTCTATATATAAATCGAAAACAACCAAACAAACAAAAAATTAGCTATGAAAGATATAAGCTTTGTGCGTTTGATTATTAACCGAAAATCATTACATTAAACTTCACTTACCCCATAATTGTTGCAGCCGTAAAATCGACGACCCGGATTGCCATCGGTCCAAGAGGTACGAAGGACTGCCGCCTCACCACATCAAAAAATAGGGGTTGCCATGCGCCTTAATAGTAATCCAATGAGTATGAGAGAAGCAAAATGAAATGAAAAAGATGAAGCAAATGAAAAGAATGAAATATTAAAAGAGAAGGAGAAGAAGACTCTGTTTTTAGAGTTTACAGGGGTGGAGAACGGCCAGACAAAAGAAGAGCTTCTTTTATGGAGTTAAGAGGGAAGGAATGGTGATTTTTGGCGCCAAGTTTCCCTCCAAAAGTGACTCAGCACATATGGCCGCACACAGTCAGCGCTGATGTGGCGAAAATATTTTTTTTATTATTGCCGTTAGTAGTGGGACGGAAAAACGGACGGATGCACAATTCTTTGACAATAGTGGTACCCGACGCCCTATTCTAATATAAGTGGTATGCCTACTCTTATTCTGAAAGATAAGTGGTACCCGAGGTATTTTACCCATGATATGGTCATAGTTCGGGCCATAATAAGATATTAACCCAAAAGTTAAATGAATAAATGAGCCATATGGGATTCGGCTAGGCTATCCTATCTTGTGTGGTGTCAGGGCGTACATTACCCATCTCTACGAATTCGATGAATAATATGCTTATATGATCACATTAATGAAAGCCTCTTTCAGTAAAAAACAACAGTTACTTATGGTATAAACTAAATCATGGGCACAAACCAAATGCTCACCTAAACTACACAATAGACAGTAAAGGATTCTAATTTCCCTACTACCATTCTACATCAGAGGAATCCTCACATTCAAAGACTTAATGGTATTACCCAGCACCTAAAATTGCCCAATCTTAAATCACAGGTCAGCAAAAACATGGTAAGTTTTGGAATCTACAGCTATAAGCCTTAGAGCAGCGACGAGCGCTGCAAAGGAAATGAACCCGAAGAAGATCACATTGAGCCAGTGCCAGAGCTTTTGGAAGGAACTCAATTTGCTCCTCTTCGCTACTAGGTACATGTGGTTTGCCAGAATGAATGTTAGGGGGAAGGTGCTGATTGCCCCTGTGAGGCTCATGAAATCTCCCAAGAATGGCAGAAGTGCTGAAACCAATGTGTTGAGGGTGAGGTATCCGCCTCTCACTCCTAGCCTGAATGACAAGTTTCGAATGGCGAATCGACTCCCCTTGATCCCGTACTTGGTGTCCAAGTACTCGTACATTGGACTCGCGAATATATGTAGAGCGATGACCGACTGAAAGAAAGCAGCAATGTTGGCCATTGCCTTCACCCAAACTGGACCATTGACGCTGCTGAGCAAATAGGTTGATGTGGATGACCCGTATGCCCAGTAGCCGATGAAAGTGACAGCATACATTGGTAAAACTCCTGCCGTGAACTGGAAGTAGAGTGCTTTCATCATGTTGTTCACTACTGGCTGCTTTATTGTTGCCTGTTTTGCAAATTGAGTTCAAACAAACTTCTGTAAGGGAATTCTTTTTCAAGTTTCACACAAAGCTGCAGAGTTTGTAAATCCCGCCTCAAGTACCTGTATCTCTGGAAGCATTCCTGTATTGAATGCAAAGACGAGATTGGCAGATGCTCCAATTGTAGTGAAGATCTTGCTCGTTGTAGTCCCCGGGATGCTGTAGTCCCTGGCTGGTGTATTGACCCCTGAAATCAGCATCGAAAGTTGCAGAATACAAAGAACTAGAGGAAGCATTATTGACCTTAAACAAGTGCATTCACTAAACAGCAAAAGTGGTTCAGAGAACATGAAAAAGGTACCATCTTTAATGGAGAGCACAAAGGCAACAATGATGTATATCAGGCTAAGGACTGTTGAGACTCCCAGCCAAACTCTCAGTGCTGATAAATGAGGAGTTGAAATGGCAAACAAGCCACACACAACCCCTGCAATGGCTATGAAGTAGGGAAGCTTCATTGGACCGTCTTCATCGAAAAGCACATAGGCAGCCTGTAGTTAGAAACATTCAGTCAGAAACACAAAGAATAATCCAAAATTGATGCCATAGACACACAGCATATATATAAAGAAAAAGCTGCAAGCAAGAGAGACAACTCGATCGGCTCACCTTGAGAGCCTGACCAGCCAAGATGATATAGCCAGTGTTGATCATGAAAAGATTCACATACTGCAGACCCCATGTCACAGAGTAAGCTCTCTTACCTGCAGCAGACATAGAGGACAAGAGAAAACATTTGAACTAATTGAAGTAATGCTGCAACAGAAGCTACAAGGTAACAGATTTCATTTCACATACCATATATGAATCCAGCTAAATCTCTGTATCTGATATGTCTTTTGCCTCCAAACTCATGTAGCTTGGCCACCAGAGAGTTTGCATACAATGAGATGGCAGTGGCCAGAATCAAACCCACCCCAAAGGAACCATTATGGTCCCTGAATAGCCTAATACATAGGCACTGTTGATCCCAGTTGTAAGAACAAATCCCACTTGGAACCATGAGTCTGCCCAAAATCAAATTCAAGTTATCAGCATCACTGTAAGTCTAAACCAAAAACCAGTCCTCTCCTACTCACCAAAACCCCAAATTAGAGATAAAAGACTCAATCTTTTGTCACTCCGATTTCCAGAAATTCCTTTCCTTAACACAGAACAAGCTTCCAAAGAGATTCAAATGAGAAATTATCAAGAAAAGCTTCACTTTTCACCTCAAAACTCAAAAGTAACAAATGGCGTGACAGAAAAGTGTTCCATATCAAACTTGAATCCCACCTTCAAACAAAAATCCCTTTTTATCTTTCTTTTTCCAACGCAAAAGCAATAATTTGTTTTCGGGAAAAAGGGTCTCAAAAAGTACACGAACAAGAGTCAGCTGAAATACTATCCTATGAAAACTCGACAACCGCACACTGCTGATCCTGTCAGCAGCCACAAGATGCCAAAAATAGCCGAACAAAAAGGGGATCAATAAAAATTGAACTAGAAAAAGGAATTCACACCGCTGCTAATCTGATGAGCGGTCTCCGGGATCGCAACAGCTAAGTTTTCCTCGTCGTGAACTTTCCTCGCCGGCCCGGAAAATTCCCCTCCGCCGGCGTCGCCATTTCCGTCCATGATCAGAAATGTGGCTTGTAGTTGGGGCAATAGAGAAAAGGCCTCCTCGGCGTCTCCCACTGGTAAACTGTGAGAGAAAGCCAGCTTGAGTTTAATTCAGAGCTTATCACTTCAGTTTATATAGTCGGCGACTTCTTCGGCCAGGCGGGCGGAATCAATGCGAGTGTTCCCACTTCCCCCTCTCTCTCTGACCTCTATCTCTATCGAATTTTTGGTTGGTTTTTTATTAAAAAATTCTTCTTTTTTCCTGTTGTGGAAGAAAAGTCTGGAGGTCGAAAAAGCAGAGATCTTTTTGTTCGCATTTAGTGGGGCTGAGAGAGACGAGTAGAGAAGAAGAAGAAGAATGCGAGAAAGAAAGACAACCGCTCGTTTTATTCATTCCTTCTTCTCGCGAGAGTCAATTTGTTCTGTTTTAGCTGAGCTGTTGCTTCTGGCTTTCTGCAATAGCATTGATCAATCATTAAATTATTATTGGCAATGATTTTCTTCTCAATCGTTGGACATGGACATGGGTCGCCTAGGCTAATATTGTCCATCTGCCTAAAGATTTCGTGATCATGATATGTAAAGACTTCCTAACAAAAGAGACTCTTGTTTGACCCGCCTTTCCATCTTTTTGAAAGGGAATATCTGTCTAGATTTTCAACAATTTCGTCTATATTTGGTTGGAGTTTTACTGTTTTAGAAATGCATTTTTTCTATTTTAAAAGTTTTTAAGGGTGAAAATATTTCAACAAGCTCGACTTTTAAATAGAATTAATTTTATAACATAAGAAAAAAATTGATTTAGAGTCTATGAATTATTTTGGAAATTTAAGATTATCTTTATTACGTTTTTAAGAATTTCAAATTATTAATTTATATTATTTAAAAATAATATAAATTAAAGGGTAAACCTCCATTAATATATGGTAGAGTTTTGTGTATTTTTCTCTATTTCAAATTTCCTGCAACGAGAGTGAAAGTAGGAAGGTCATTTTTGTCTTTAAACATTTATTATTTATTTCATATAAAAATAGCAATATCAAGATTTGAACCCGGGTCTCTTCAAACAAAGATAACAATCACAACCAGTTATACTAAACAAATTTAATGCATCCATTTTTATACAAAAAATAGACAAAGTTAATATCTGAAAATCAGAGGACTTTTTCATCATAATTAGCAAGCTCAGTAAGTCTATCGTATGTATTTTTATCGAGCTTGATACTTCTATTTTCATAGTAGAGTTTCATGTAATTTTCTCAATTTCAAATTCTCGCTCTCTCCTTAATTTTTGCTAAAGGTAAATGGGTAATTGGCCAACATGGAAGAAACTAATTATGTAACTACTATTGTATCCTTGCATTTTTCCATTTAAATTTTGTGTTTTTTTATCTTTGTTCTTTTCTCTTTCTAACTTCCTCCGAAATTTCATCCATCGTGCAATAGTTTGCGCCTTTCACTTCCCAGTACAGGTCTGTCATTGAAAATCAATCTTCAGTATCTCTTGGCACTACGGTTTTATTGTTGGGGATTTTAAGCTAGGCGAGTGGAAGATTTCAACTCCGATATCAATTCATGGTGAATAGAATGGAGTTCATCAATAATTGAAGTTGTAGAAGGAAGATTAGAAATTGAATTTTTGGTTGAATATATGCCTCTTGAGATAGAAATTTGGTTGTACAACGGAGAGTGGTGGCTATTGGATCTTTAGGTTTATGGTTTTTGCAACTGTCATAACTTATTTCTATCTTAAAACGAGGAATCATTGATTGATTGTTTGAAATAGGTCGCTTCTTTATTCAACCTACTGGAACTAATAGATAAGGAGTGTCTAATTTTGCGCCTTATTACTTTGATCGAGTCTATTCGTATATTGGAGATAACCTTGATTTTTTCGTTTGCTCTCAAGTTGTGATGGTCCCCTCTTAGCTGAGTTTTTAGTATATAGATGACTTGAATCAACGACTCTTCATTTCTTTTTGATTAGTGACATATTGTTTCTAAAAGGAGAGCATTGAACCCTTTATATAGGATTGTGAGGTTTAAGATTTAGTTTCAAACTATCTATGGGTTGTGTGAGAATTTCAGTGAGCTTTTATACTCTATATTTCTTGACTGTTAAAGAAAACTAACCAATAGCATTTTAACAGGGACTTAATTAGCATTATAAAAATGGGGTCAATGATACATTTTTATATTTTATATTCTTAAATGATTATGATATTTCTCCGAATGTTCGACCTATATATTATTTCTTTATGTATCATCTTCGATCGAATGATTATCAATAAGATTAAACGGGTTAATAGACTTAAAAGTAACATAAAAATACAAATAATCAAATATGAGCATTCCTGCCAAAGGGTCAAGTTATAAGCTAGTACAATATAATAGCCAAACCTTTTGCCTTTAAACAAAACAATAGTCAAACCTTTTCAAAAACAATTTAATAGCCAAATTGTCAAATTTCCGTCCAGTCAACAGTTAGTTGACTGTGATGTGGCCAATACATGTTGACATGGCTGAAAGTCAATAATTTCACTTGCCACATAGATATATATAAATTTTATTATTAAAAAATATAATAACATTAAAATACCTACTCTTTTATCCCTTCCCCCTTCTCCATCTAAGAACAAGAATTCTCATGACCCCTAAATTATTCCCTCCTCCACCATTTTAATTTAGCTCTTGGATTGTGCTTCCTGGATTACGGCGAAAAAATTAGAGTTGGAGGAAGTTCTGAAATTGGGGCTTTCCCCTACCCTCCGCCGCTCCCAATCACCATTAATATCAGCGCCATCATCCCGAATCCTGCCTCCATGTTCAACCTCAGTGCCGCCATCGATATCGACGGTGGAAGAGTACGGGCCCTGGTGCCTCATGAGGCCGGCGGTGGTGGTGGTTCCGCAGGGAAAGGGATGGCGGTGACGGACCGACTGGAGGGTGGGGCCCTAGTACTCTCTCAGTCTCTCCTCTTCCCTCTTCAAAGATCGATTTCAGCCATAACAGGTTATTAGGGCCAATCACACACGAGATCGGTCAGTGCAAGCCGCTGACTTTTATGGATCTAGTCAAAACCAAATCTCCGGTGAGATTCGTCGGGAGCCGGGAGGAAGAAAATTGAAGCGTTTCTTCTTTTTTTTTTTATAAAAAAATTGAAGTGTTTCAGATCGGCAGGAGCTGCAAGAAGATACTGGGCCAATGTGATGCAGAGGCGGTCGCTAGCTAGCGTTGGGTAGGTGCGGCGTCGTCTCCTTCGCAACAGTTCTGGCCTGGAATCGCACGACCGGGGCTACGCTCCAGTTCTCCGACGCTCACATAAGGATGGGAGCGGCGACTTCGGGGTGTCAGTGGTCGAAGGCGCCGGCGGGAGGTTTACCTTCGTTCTGTCTTGGCGGGCTTCGCCGAAGAGGGATTTGACGGAGAAGGGAAAGTCGATCGGGTGGATGGTGTTTGTCTGGTTAGAATATAGAGAGAACAAATAAGATTTTACCATTTTCTTTTTTTTTCTTCTGATTTTATAAATAAACAATTAAGTAAAAATAATATAAATTCCATGTGGCATGTTGGTCCCTTTCAATCATAGCCACATAAGAAAAAAACATCCAGCTCACTTAATTTTTGACACGTCATAGTCAACTAACAGTCAAATGGACGGAAAGTTAACGGATTGGTTATTAATTTGTTATAAAAAAGGTTTGGCTATTATATTGTTTAAAATGAAAGGTTTGGCTATTAAATTGTATTTACCCTAAATTAAATTATTGTTTATTATAAAATAAATTGAATTAAATACATTTTGATGATTTTTTTTAAATATGTTATTAATTTTTTAACAGAAGAGAATATTTGATAGTTTTTCTAAAACATAATAAATGGATATGTTCGATAAAATGCACTCTGAAGAGAAATATTATACATAGAACCCTAATTCATTCAATATTAACTCTCTTTCCTGGAGTGTTTCCATTTTGGGCCATTACTGCGAAATCAATCTCGGACCAGAGAGACGAGAAGGGGAATTGTCGGGCCTGATATGGCCTGAATATGTCACATTGGACTCTTCTTTTATTGGGCCGAATTTTTAGAGCTACCACTCAAATTGAAGTTGAGCAACCAGCAGGGATGACAACGGTGGACAACCCACTCTCAACAAAAATCTACACATACTGAGTTTCGAACCATGACCAATTTAAAAAAAGTAAGAATTATAACCAATCACACTAAGTATATTTATTGTATCTTTTTAAATCAAAAACATATAATAGGAGGGAGAAAAAAACCCTTCCCCCATTTCAAATTCCCTGCTCCAAGAGCGTTTGTAGGAAGGGTAGAAATAGAATAGAGAGTGTTAATCTTTTTCTCTTTCCTCTGTGGAACGGGCAAACTTACCGTACACATGCGGATTTAAACGGGTCCAGGATTGTCAATTTTTTCTTTAAGCCTTTTTATTTCTCCGTGGTGATAAAATATATATGAAAAGGCAAAACAATACTTCTTTCTATTGCTAAAAATAAAAAATTTAACAATACACTAATGCATCGTATTTAATAAGCTAACCGCTAATCATAAAATAAAAGAGTTGAATACGCCTGACCTACACGAGATTTGGCAATCAAGTAAAACAAATGAACATCATTGGTTTGACATTCTAAAACAAGCTATTTTCTCTAGCATAATATATATTATGCTATTATTTTATATCTTAGTGGCTAAAGTATAATGTATTTTAAAGTTATTCAATGGTTCAACCTCGACCAACCTAATTAGTCCAATTTTAATCATTTCAAATATATATTATATAATTATTTAATACCATAATGATCAAATTATAGTGTATTTTATAGGGAATCGTTTGGTATTTGTTAGTAAAAAAACTAAACAGAAAGATCTATTTGGTTATTTTAAACATTAAAACGATCCTAAATATTTTCAGTTCCTTTTGAATTTCTATGGTTTTATTCCCAAATAAGTGAGGTGCAAATGGCGAATTGCAGTCATCTCTTTTCTTATTTTTTATTTTCAAATAGAAAGTTTAAAAGTAAGGAATAATTAGAATTTGGCATGAGTCGGTCAAACAGGCTGAATTTCAAGTTTTGGC